GTTCCTGATCAAATACTGATTTGCTTTTTTATGTCTTTCATAAGTACGTTGCCTTTTAACACCAATCCCACGTTTGACCATAGGGAGTAGCTTATGTTTGATCAAGCATTTTTGCATCTATAAACATTGGAAATACACTGTATTTGCTAGATCTATACTTGGTGAGTCCCTCCAACAGCTATGCGGAATAGCTTCAGATTGTTAAGCTGTCGTTCCTGCTATCTAAATCTGTGCTCTTCACTCAAAGTGAAGACATCTCACCCTCCCCTGCCTCTCCCCATCATTTTCTTCTGTATCTCTATTAATTTCCACATTTAAGATATGCAGAGCCTTCTGAGCTGTAGAGGCTTGGCTCCAGTGAAATCTCCCAGACGATTTTTTACAATGAGTAAGTGTGGTCCTAAGTGGGCCCTCCATTTCCAAAGCCCAAGATTCACCATGCTCTGACAACCCACTTGCTGGGTAATGCATTTGATATCTACCTGAAAACACCACCACAGAGCATGTATACAAACTCCATAGTACATCCAGGAGTGTTTACCAGCGACTGTCCTTTAGGAACATTCTGAGGAGCCATCATAAATAGCATGTATTTGCTGCTGTAAAATGCACAACACCTGGGTCTCTACCTGCTAAAAGCCTCTCGGTGCATGTAAACAACTGGAATGAAATCCCAGCAGATGAGGAGCATATAGCATTCTGCAATACCTCAGCTCAGATGCCAACCCTGTTCCATCCCTGCAGAGCAGCTGCCCTGCAGTGTGCAAGTCCTTGGATTTGAATGTAAGCAAGAAACAACAACTAAAACCCTTACAGGGAAAGTTAATAGGTTCACCAAGTTTTGAACTGGGCTACTTTATAAAATCAAAGCATGCAATGATTTCTTAAATTGTAATTAAAAATTATACCACCAAAAATACTGCAGTCATGAGCCCTGGTCCCTCAGAGAACCGCAACAGCTCCCCGGAGAGGGGTGGAGATTAGCAAACACATTTCAGATGACAGCTTTTAATATAATTATTTGCATAACTGGATTAAAGAAGCTCACCAGCGTGCCTCTAAATCTTATTATTGTTTATTACTCTGGATATCAGAGAAAACAGTAATTACATTGAGCAGAGATTCTTGGGGCTCGATTCAGAAGTGGGGCTGAGCGAATGTGGCTGTGCCTCAGTCCCTGCCAGCCTGTGGGACCCCCAGTCCTCCTGCTCGGGGCCAGACCTCCTTTGTGCACCATACGGGGAAAGCCTGGAAAAATGGCCTTGCAGGGTCATGGAGGTGGGCCAAGGGAGGAAGAAGGAGCTTCAGGAGCCCACAGCCAGGTGATGCAGATCGTTTCGGCGTGCATCTGCAGAACCTTGTCCTGAGAAGGGCCTGAAGCAAGGGGCAGGTTCTGAGCTTTCTGCTGCAAATGCAAGTCCTGAAAGATTCAAGGCATGTACAGGTTAAACCAGCACTTAAACAAGGGTGCCTGCTGTGCTGGACACTCCTGAAGACCTCCTTCAGATGACAGACCTTGCCCCTGGAGCTGCAGTTACAGCAGTGCCTGCTGGTAGTGAGATGTTCCCAGTGCATCCATCACGGTGGGAACAACATATGCACTGAACAGCCGTTCACTTCTGTCTCAAGGAAAAAAAGAAAAAAATAGAGAGAGAAATCCCACTTGTTTGCTTTGTGCAGCTCTCTGCAGCAGCCATCTGCAGTCACTAACGTTCAAGAGAACATTAATAAGCCAAACTGCAGTGCTGGCAAATGAGGGTAAAAACATGATGCGTAAGAAGGAAATGATCCCAGGCCTGCGGTGTTAACAAGTCTTCCCAGTTACTCCACTGGGCTTTGGCTCACTCTGGATTACAGCGCTGTCTGTATTTAGTGCACAAGGTAGTAAAGTTTATGGGCCATCTCAATGCTGGTTAGCCTTTACAAACTGACAAATTAACAGCTTGAACTGACATAATTCCATAGAAGAAAAATCTCTACAAAAATCAGGATTTTGTTGTTATTTAAGGCTGCTTTTTGCAATGTTGTTTCAGTGCTCTGTGTCCTCTTCTCTGTTCTCTTCAAAAGAGCCCTGAAACAGAAGCTGAAAAACTTATAAAATTTGGTTGGTTTGCTTGGAAGGTTTCTTGCCTTTTCAAAATCACCAGTTATTCCAATAACTTGCTATATTGAGCTTGAAGGAAAACAATTTCCTAAAATTCAGCAAAAAAACCCCATCCTTTAATAAGTCGTTCAAATCTTTAAATCAAGGTAAGCAAGGCAGATACACTTCATCACAGACAATGCAAGTAATACCCACTTTAAGAGGACTTTCTTTAATTCAGTGTCCCTGTAATCAGCTTCAAATATCCAGTTCCTCATTACTAGCAACAGAACAGCTTGAAATTCTAAGGAAATTTGTGAGAAGGGATTTCAAATGTTTTTCCAATGCTTTTCCCAGAGTGTGCATATGCATCTGTGTATTTTTTTAACCAGATTAGCTTACTGAATGCTGATGAGCAAAATTATATTCACAGTTTCACCATAGGAGTACATTTACAGACTAGAGAAACCATCTTCTCTTTTTTTCCCTCTCCCCCCTCATCTATTTGCATTGCCTCGCAGCCCATACGTTTCTGGCCACGTGCAGTTGTGGTCAGATAGATGCCCTTGCTGACCGTGGCCAAAACTGCCCCTGGATTGTGCTGCTTCTCCAGCTGATCTCTGCCCAGTGGTGTGGTTTAACCCAGCAGGCAGCTAAACCCCACACAGCTGTTTGCTCACTGCCCCCCTCCCCAGTGGGATGGGGGAGAGAATCGGGGTGGGGCGGGGGGGAAGTAAACTTTGTGGGTTGAGATAAAGACAGTTTAATAGGACAGAAAAGGAAGGGAAAATAAAAATAGTAGTAATATACAAAGCAGGTGATGCACAATGCCATTGCTCACCATCCGCTGACCAACACCCAGCCCGTCTCCAAGCAGTGGTCGCTGTCCCCCAGCCAACTCCCCCAGTTTCTATACTGAGCATGACGCCGTATGGTATGGAATAGCCCTTTGGGTGGTTTGGGTCAGCTATTCTGGCTGTGCCCCCTCCCAGCTTCTTGTGCCCCTGGCAGAGCATGGGAAGCTGAGAAGTACATGACTGGTGTCAGCAGCACTTAGCAACAACTAAACCATCAGTGTGTTATCAGCATTATTCTCATCCTAAATCCAAAACACAGCACTATGCCTGCTACTAGGAAGAAAATTAACTCTATCCCAGCTGAAACCAGGACACTCAGTATCAGTCAGTTCCTCGTGGCATCGAGATTCTGGCTGAGCAGGCTGGAAGAAGCCTCTTTAGAAACAATGTCTGCTTTCAGAACTTTTTCCCTTATGCTTATCTATTATCTCAGACATTTTCAGTTCAGACAGAGGCAGGAAGAAACTAGAAACCATTAGGTTGATTATAGCTTCTAACTCCCTCATCTGATTGAAAGGTGAACGTCAAAGGAAATTTTTTCTTCCCAAAAGACTCCTTCAAAAGAGAGCACTTGCTACTTTGCTCCATTTGACAGGTTTTTCTTTGACTGGTCACGCAATGCTCATGCATGGCTCAATGTCAACAGCCCCCACCACCCACTGTCTCCTAACGGATGCATCCAGAAGTGCTCCTGAAGACAGTATCAAGGTCTCTGGATGTCTCTGGAGATCAAAGCTGATGGCAGCATTGCCACAAGTCAAAATCAGTTCCTCAAGGAATAAGCAGAAAGCAGCTCGGCACTGACAAGTCTACAATGATGTCCGCTCCTCTGGCTGGGAATGCGGCTGCCTTGCAGTAGGGTCATGAGACAATGGCAGGAACACAACTCAACGTCAGTAAAGTGGTGGTACGTCTTAACGTACCCCTATTTGGATGAGTTTCCACCACACATTATGTTTCCAGTCTGTCCATCCTTGGTGAGAGCATCAGCAAATCCACCAAATAGGCTGTCGCATACTGCATCACAGTTGCACCTCACAGAGATAACATCACTCCAGTTTTATTTTCCCTGCCGCAGTACTGCATCTCACCTTGCTACATGCTGTGCTGCAGGTTCACGAGACACAGGAGGTTTGGGATTGCATGATGATGCTGGGTTCAAAAAGCACAAAGCACAGATTCCCGCCCAATGCGGTTGGCCACGGCAGGCAGGTGAGCGGCCCTGCTGCAAAGGTTGCGATTCCATGCACTGAGCCAGCAGCAAGGAGAAAACGGCAGTGAGGGAGGAAACCATGCAGGGCAGACACAGCACACCCCGCCAAGGGCCACAGAGCCCTCATCCATGTGTGGGTCCCCAGGCGCGCAAGCAAACCAGTTGTCTTGTACAGGGGTTCTTGCAGGGAGTGCGGGTGAGCTGATGTCATCACCCCACACACCATTTGCACCCTCAGGAGTGGGGAGATCCCTGCACACTGCCGCTGCCAGCACAACTCAGCTGGCAGAGGGAGGCTCGGAGCAGCTCCTACCAACCCGGTTTCCTGCCCACAGCCGAGAGCGCTGCTCAGGAAGGGCATTTCAGGAAGCCTTAGGCTGTTCTTAGGGCCATTAGCATGGCTCTAACCCAAGAGAACTACAGGAATATTGTTAGTCCTCCACCCTGGATCCTGTGCTAAGGACTGGACTCTGGGGAGATATGCAGATTTAATTTTTACCAAATCCAAAGCACTTCCTCACTGAGATATTTAAGTCTCATGTTCATCCTTGCATCTCCCTGTCCCCAAATCCCATATCTGTACTGCCAGCAATATCCAAAACAGATAGGAGGGATCCCTGTGGTTTACATAAGGGTATCTTACTGTGCTAACATCTCCTTGGACTCTAACTCCTGTCAAAGAAGTAAAGAAATTTCTGGGACTTGATGTCTGCCTCTCCTTCTCCAGTAGGAATGGAGGTCCTGGCAAAGCTACGCATAGGACTTGTGTTGTTATAATTGAGCCCTGAGGACAAATGTCAGGACTAATTAACAGTGGAAAAGACTTACAGTGTTACCGTACGAAAGAAGTGCACTCCTACCAGCTCTCGTTTACAGCACCACACTGGCCATAATGCAATTTGTAGTGGGTCCAATTTTCTTCTTTCGCCGGGAAAACATTTTCTTCAGCTCCCCCCTGAAGCTGTCATGGAGCCAGGCATAAAGGAAGGCATTGGTACAAGCAGACATCATTGCAAACCAGTGGCACAGCAGCTGGATAAAATTGAAGTACTGCTTGTCAATCAAGCTGATGTCTATGTCCTTTATCATGTTGAAGATGTGCAGAGGCAGCCAACAGACTCCAAAGGCTGCCACCACTAAGACTAGCAAGCGAAAAGTTTTTCTCCTCCTTGCTCGGTCCCACTCAGCTTGGCCCTGGGTGACGTTTCCTGGAACCACACGATTTTTGAGCTTGACTGAGATTCTCAGGTAGGACAGGGAGATGACAGCCAAGGGCAGTACGTAGGTGATGATGAGAGTACTGTAGGCATAAGCTAAGCGATCTCTTTTCATGTGGAACCAAAACTCCTCGCAGATGGAGAAGTCCAGTTCTGGGAACTCTGCATGGTAAGTGTGGACCAAGGCCGGGGCAGCCAAAGTACAGCTCAGCAGCCAAATAGCAGCCAGGATATAAGCACAAACAGGGATTGTGAGCCTCCTGCGGAATGGATACACCATGGCATAATACCTATCCACAGCTATGACAGTCAAGGTAAAGACAGACACAAACACAGTGACAGGTTGCATCAGGAAAACAAAGTAGCACATGAAACGCCCGTACACCCATCCTCTGGGCTCAAAGGCATACGCGAGAGTCAGAGGTACACAGGTTGCACACATGAGCATATCTGAGAAAGCCAGGTTGCCTACCAGAAAGTTGGTGACATTGTGCATTTTTTTTGTCTTGCAGATAACATAAATGAGAAGGTAATTCCCAATTACACCAATAAAAACCACTAGCGAGTAGCAGGGGATGATGAGTGGCTTGAAGGTCTGAACAAACTGGAGCCCTGAGAATAAATTGCTGGCATTGCTATGAATCACAGAGAGGAAGCTTTGGGAGGTTAAATTGTCCGAATTCATCATTTCACTCCTTTTGTCGTCTGCCGTCAGCTGAGTGAAGTAGTTACCACTGCACTACTCCCGCACTCAATCAGTGTGGATAATGAATGGATTACTGGCTGTCCAGAGGTTACCACATGGATAGTAAACAAGCATCCGTAAAAGCAAAAGGTGAAGTTGTAATCCTCGAGAGGCAGCTTTCAGCAATTCCTAAGAAAAATCAAATACAACCAATTTCCATTAAAGCCTTCCTGTATTTACTATTAAATATAGGTTTTGACAGCATGCCACTTAATAAACATTTAATGCAGTGAGTACTTACTGCTGTGGTTTTTTAATCCCATATGATTTTCCTGTGGATGCCAAGAGGTGCCCTAGATGTCTGTCTTCTGCAAATCCAGGAGCGTGCGTGTGTGTGTGTGTGTGTCAGAGAGAGCGAGAATGTGTGAGTGAGAAAGAGGGTGATGCGCATTTACAAGCTAAGTGGAGATCAGTGTTTTTAAACAGTCTTCACTACTAGGTCATGACAGATTTGTGTATAAGCTTTTATCCCTATTGGCTGTCCTGGGTATTACGTTGCTCTTTGCGTGTTTCTTACTGATAGTAATTAGTTCTTGAATATCCTTTCAAAAAGCCCCTTCTCCTTCCAGTGCATCTATAATTGCCCCTCACAGCTGAAAATCAGTTTGCATTCATTAACACTAGCCTGCACAGTATCTAATCCAAGATTCACTTTGCCACAGCCCTCAGAGTGTCCAAAAAAAGCTACCTGTGAATTTGCTACTATAATGTGGCTGTAAAATAGAATTTTAATAATGTGCTAAAGCCAAATAAATGTTTATCCCACTAGAGGGACTCAGCTACGTACCTGGTGAATGAAGTTAGGATTAGAAACGTGCATTTAGCATGTAGCACAAAGGATCTTATTTTATTTAAATTTATTTTCTAATGGTGATACAATGTTTGCTCACCCATTGTGAGTATTTTCAGTGGGGTTTATGAGTCTTTAAAAGTAAACACATGCGAGCATCTCAAAGGAAATATTAGCATCCAAATAGCTTAGCTGTAAGGATTCACCTGCAGTGAACTACACCAAACTGTTTCTAGTATTGCAGCTGCCAAAAAATATTTGGGGTATTTCTTCATTCCTGCAGTAGGTTTGTTAACCTTTTCTGTACTAGACAACAAGTGCTAACCAGTCTGTAAAATAGTCTATACTTGTTTTGTTTGTTTCAGACATTAGAAAGCAAAAAATCAGGATAGGTGCTTAGAGAACACACATTTAAGCAGACGTCTCCATCCAGCTCTTAGCTATCGCTCTAATTGTCCCTTAAATCTCCTTCATTTCAACCACTTCTGGGACCAGGACCTCAGCTGGTGAAAAATAGTGAAACTCCACTGCATCCATTTATACTAGCTAGGGAAATGAAAAAACAAATGGAACAGCCTAACAACTTCTGAATACTTCAGAGCAGGAAACATTGCTAGGTTTTGCAAGACACTCAGGGGATTTAGACACAGCTTCAATGGACAGTTTATGTCCTAATCTCTTAGACTACTCTAAGGAAATATTAACCCATTATTTTCTATGAGGCTATGAGCAGACCCATATCCATCTTTTGATTTGATGTAATTTGACATAAACCAAAAGTTTAAATAGATTTCATTTGTATCGTAATCCTTTTCCTAATCTTAAAACAGAAACTAATCTTGTGTATCCCTTGCTCAGACTGGAGCTGTTCTCCCACAATTACTTATGATGGATGGGCATTTCAAACCTGATAAGTGCTGACTCTGTGCTGCTGCATTTATGGTTAGATTATGCTATGGACTGGAATATGGCTATAGTTCCAGCCCAAGGGGAGAACAAGCATGTAGCCACATTGCTCAGGAGTGCCATCCTTCACTTCATGGATGTAGTAACCTATCCGTGACCCATACAAAAAAAAAAAAAAGGGATGCTATATCCCACTTCAGAATCCAATCTCACCTATCTGAGCTGGATGGGACCCAGAGGAATATAGTATTTATCTCTACATACCCAAATCCAGAATAGGAGAGGGACCTAGGAACCTGAGGGTAGAGGTTGCAAAGAGGCAATGAAAAAGGGGATTCCTACTGCTTTCACCACCCAATGCAACTGTACTATTTGGTGATAAGCAGCATGCTGCAAAAGTAATTCCTAAAACCTATATATGCAATCATTTCACTTAACGTGGGAGAAAAGTATGGTCTGATTTAAATCCTACTGAAGTAGGATTTCAGTAGGCTTTGAACATGGTCATAATATAAGCCAAAAGACATAGAAAACTGAACAGGGAGCATATGTAAATGGCCTTCATACTGCCCACATCCTACTGGAACTGCAAGGCTTATTCTAGGAAAGAAGCCTCACATTAATATCAGTGCACACATAACAATTGAAAATCACATTTTTAACTAAGTGATTTTTCTGTTTCATTCCCAAGAGCTGCAGAGTAGATCCAGTAAATATCCTCATTGTATCCCTATGAGAAAAAGGTTTATACTTCTTTATGTGAGAATAAAAATCAAATAAAATATCATCTAAAGCAGCCTTCAAAGGCACCTTAACACTCAGGTCACAAAAACCCGTAAGCAACCTTAGAGGTTCTTCTATTTCAAGCTGTACTAAGTAATCTTCCTGTGTTTTTCTCTTACCTTTAACTTAAATGTATTTTGTTCACCTCTGAAACCAGTAACCAGTACACCTTCTGTTTGAAGGCTCCCACCCTATTTCTGTTAGTGATTTTCTGTTTGTTTTGGCTTCAGGCAGAAAATTTCTTCAGTTCAACTGTACTCTACAGCCAAGACCTGGAAAGATAATATTTAATAGGGGCTTGAATAGAGAAAGTATTTCAGCATTTTACCCCAAAGAAATCCCCTCTCCTTGTAAAATAGTAAATATTGATCTTGTTTAGAATTCCCTAGGCTAGATGACAAAGTCTCTCCTGAACTGAGTATAAGTCTATTTCACACACAGAATTTTCTTATTAAAAGAGAAAAGGTCACAGAAACTGCATTACTGTCATATTAGAACTGTTTTGACATTCCAAGTGTATAAGGGTGTCACACATAGGAACGTAGATTAGTGCCTAATTGAAACCCTGGTCTTCCTTGAGTCAATGGAAAATGTTATATCTGGAGCCAAACCAAGACTTTACAGAAACCTTTCACAGCTGAGCTTTCATGATCTCTTATGCTAACCTGTCCAACTCTGCACAGACACTTTGAGTACAAACATTGTAAGCTGCTGTGTGACTTTCAGAAAGCGGTAAACCTCTTTAAAGCACTAATGCTGTTCCTTACGTGCATGTCTAATCACCCCTGTAGTTCCTAACTAAAACAGCATCAGCCAGGAATTGAGATCTGATCCTAGCAGCTACACTTGCAAAGCTCAGTAGTACTTCTTAAGCTGGCAGGCCCTCTCTTCTGTTATTTAGGCTTTACAGGCCAAAAAATGTTCTTCTGTTGTTAAAGTCTCACAGTTTCAGGTGTTAGTTTTCTATGTTCTTATTTATTTGATATGTGTCTTTTTTCTGTAAAACACAACTTCCTTTGCATCACAGAAGCCCTTTAAAAAGTCTTTCACATTCTTCCAGGAATGTTCTGTGCTGAGCAGATCAGGTAGTTCTTGCAGAGCCTACAATAAAAATAGACGTGTTGCCTATGTTGAATGAAGTGGAGCTGAGGGTTCCTTTAGCAAATTCTTATAACCAGCCAGGGAACAAGGTTGTGTATCACACAGCAATTTCAAGACAGGGCAGCCCGTCCTTCCTTCTCTCATTTAATCGTATAAATGCATTCTGTCTGTCCCCACTGTGTACTAAAACATCACAGTCTCTAAACTTTAAAAACCATGTTTACAACTAAGGGTTTTGTTTGGTTGGCTTGGAGGTTTTTGGGTTTTGTTACTGCTTTTCTCAAATTCAAGGTACCAAAATTTGATAAACTCAGGATTCAGCTGAAAATAATACATTTAAGCTGAAGAGGAGCTTAACAACTTGAGTGAAGAGGAGGCTTAAATTTAAGTCAAAACATGCTTGATTTTGCATGCTAAATAAACAATAGGGGCTCTACTCTTCCCTGTATGCACAGAATTCTTAGTCTGATGAGTAAAGTGATGTGAGAAAAGTGAGCTGGTTCCTTAGATGACAAAGATCTTGTGCTAAAATAAAGATAACAGTGTAAAAACTGAGGAAAAATACAAGTGGTTTCCTGGGAATGGAGGTACTGGGTCTCAATTACCACAACAAGGTAAAAGTCAATGTAGAAGTGAATAAACTCATACTGTCTGCCAGGAGCTAGCTAATGCCCTGCAAGAACTGGCACATGGAACTGCGGGGTAAGAAGTAACAGCTTTTCCTATCTTTATGGTATGTGAACGCAACCCTGTGACTGAAAAAAAGCAAATGGGCCACCTGTCCGTAAGAATAGGAAGCAGGGGCGGGCAATGTGATGAGAAAGTGCAGGCCTTTTAGTCTGACAGTTTTACAGTAGGTTTTAGACCAGATTCAAGGACAGAAGAAAGAGAGAGAGAGAGAGGAGATATCAAAGGAAGTTTTTGTCAAATTAACGTTCCATCTCTGTGGTGTTAAACTGATTTTTCTCAACATAGGATATGTAGTAGTTCTTCTCAGTTTGGGTTTGCACAACACATGATGTAGTAGCATATGAGAAACCATCATCTATAACAGAGGAAATATCCCAAGAACTGTGAGGTAGGCAAAGAACAACATTTCTGAAGGAATTGGACCAGAAGACAGCAACTATTCATGCTCCTCAAGAACCTTGCTTGGGATTGACCAGCCGTGGTAGCTCTTTTCATTTTATTATGTTAACACAAAAAGCAGGACCACACTGACTGAATTTGATAGAACCACCAAGTTTGGAACCAGAGATTATGACTGCACTATTACACAGAGAAACTTCGAAAACCTCAAGGAGAATGGGAGGAACTTTGGTACCATTACAGAGGAAGAACTTGTCATAAAAGGCAGGATCAAGGTCACTTGATAATAAGCATTTTCACT